GTACACATCATTCCCATCATTATTTAAGAAAGAGATCAGTGTTCCCAATGTGTTTTGATTAGTGCAATGAAGACATGGTTGTAGTCCATCAGTAAGGGAGAGAAGTTTCATTCTGCAGGATGGAAGTGTTCATTTGGAAAACTGCAGGCAATGGCTTGGATAACAGCCTCTCAAGTACAAAGTGGGTTTGATGAGAGAACAGTGACAGTGGAATTACAGTTAAGACCTGTAATCTGCAAGATCCTGGAAGAAGAATGTAGGGAAACAAGTTTGTGATGAAAACATTTAATCTACTCAGAGCAGACATCTTGACCTTCATTCTGGTGGTAATGAGCTTGTCTGCTGGAGTTGTCAGCATTGTAGAAGCAGCCAGAACAGTCTGTTCTCCCACTGATGTGTATTAATTGCCTGTCGATACACCAGTGAAGAGAATTAACTAAGATTTCCTGATGGAACAAAGAATGGTTTTCAGAAATATTTGCAGTTCTGTCATGTCCTCAGAATTTACATGAGCCTGGAACTCGAGGTAGGTTACAGAGCAGAAACTGAGTGTGGAGTTGCTGCAGCTGAGGTGTGCAGATGACCACCTGTACTTTGGTGAAACCTGACAGTGGTTTAACCAAAGTTATGCATGGTACTGACACAGAGTTCCTGCCTTCTCATTCTGCATCTGAGCCTCTCTGGGCCATTATTTTTTTCTGATGATTAGCAAGTAGTCCTGCCACTGTCAATAAGAACACAGGTGCACGCTTTCTCCTGCACTGCTGCTCAAGAAACCCAGATAGCCGTGGATACAGAGGTGTGGGCACAGAGTGGGAACAGCTGAGGCAGATTTCACCATGAAGGCACACTGCCAGCATGCTTTTCTTATGGTGTGTCTGCTGTAGCAAAATATCACTGACATCACTGCCTTCTGAATTTTTATCATATATGGAACAGAAGCTGTTTCTAGCTTTTAAATTGTAACAGCATAACTTTAGCTTTTCTTCACATGTTATGTGTGTGGGCACCAGGTAATTGAGAGGTATTTCATCTGTAAGGATTTGTCCCTTGCCACTCCCTGGTGGGCCCATAAGTGCAACAGGATGCACAGTTTGTGTATGCAGAAAAAATCCACACGCAGTCCTAGTGGCCACCAGAACGGCACAGAAGCCAACACTGAGACATTTGTAACAAGGTATTGCTGTACACTGGTTGTCTTCCTGACACAAAAGCATATACTAAATTTAATGGTCCAGCAGAAACAGAATTTGAGCACTGCTATTCCCGCAAGCAAAGGAAATGTTGGTTTTGCTCCTTTGGTACGGTCACATCTGTGCCCTTGGGCAGTATCTGTGTCTGGCTTCTTTGCTCGTTTTATAGTTTTCGGTTTTTTCTCCTCTAACAGAGTTCACTGATACTTCTCCTGAATGACACTGACTTTTATTTCATCTGAAAATACCTATTTAGCATTTTTTGGTTATTAGTATTGCAAGATGGCATTAGAATCTGAAGTGGGATCCACGTTGAAATAAATTTGCACTGGAATTCCACAAACCCTTCTGCTTTTTCATCAGTGTGATTCAAGGCACATGGCCTACATCTGTACTCAATCAAACAGGGCTGTGTTGGCCAATATAATCTAATTGTTTGACATTTTTATAGTAATTCATTGAGACTAAAGAGAGATGACTACATTAATATCTTGATGCAGCTAGATAATAGTTGAGATAAAACTGGTGTGCCAAATTGCTGAAAGGCCCTTAAATTCCCTTACAGATTTTTAACTATTTGTGACATAGAAAAGGAAAGAGACTTCAATATAATGTAATAAAGAGAAAAAATAGTACAATCTATAATACTAAGTATTATAATAAAGAACATTATAATAAATTTTCTAGGAATCTTCTCTTCACCAATCATTTAAAATTCTATTTCTTAATAATTGAGATGAGAATTATTGTTAATGTTCATGACTCTGTTTTCTTGGATAATCAGTTTCACTGAGGTCATAATTAAACAGAAATGTTCTAGCCATATAATATGTATATTATTCCTCTAGCTAGACTGTGAAAAAATATGTCAAATATATCTGTCCTGTGTATATCTGTGGGAACACTCAGGCTGGAATAGTGGTGGAGGAACATCATGGACACTCTAAACAGAGGCGAATGCTGAGCCTGCTTATCTTAGACCTCATCTCACTGTCAGCCCTTCTCTCCTCCAGGCACCTGATGGTAACTCTGTTCACTGGGATGTATTATAAAGATGTCAAGAACAAGGAATACTTCCTCCTGGGCAGCATGTCATGACCTAAAAGGAGAGATTAATTTCATGCTGAAACATGAGATGTCCAGCACCAGAAGGGTCCTGAGATTGCTGTTATCTTTTCCATAATTTCTGGTTTTCACTCAGTGAGTCATTTAGCTAGACTTCAGTGTCAGTGCCTTTCTTACCGTTATCCCAAAGGAGCAAACATGACCTCATAACACCACAGTAACTCTTATGGCAACCATCAAATGATATTAAAAAACAAACAAACAAAAAACAAAACCTATTTCCAATACAAACAAGTAGATTGATGAAGTATTGCTGACATTAAAAAAAAAAACCACGAAGCAATTATCCCCCTATACCATGGAAGATTTGTTGGAAGGGCAATATCTTTCTCCAGGTTACATCATTAAAATGCAATGATCACAAAGCAGAAAGTGGTGTTCTGTTACACTGCTAGTTTTGCAAACAATAGACAATGCTACAAAATTTTTTAGAGATTTTTTTTGCCACACTCTTGGTGGCAAAATGAAAATTCAAGGACACAGGATGCTGTTCATTAGCTCCCAATCAAGTGTAGCAAGCTGACTTTGGCAGTGTTAACATCTTTTATTCATGAAATCTTAAGGTCTTAAAACCATCCATTGTCTAAATTACTTTTTGTATACAGTAAAATGTTCATGTCGTGCTCCTAACACATATTGCAAAAATGCGTCCCTTTAGTCACTGTGCACAACTCTGAACCCCTAGTTTTGCTTGTAGTTCTAAAAAATGTTTTATTATGTTACATTGAAAGACAACAGTCAGCTCCTGGGAGCCCTGCAATATTTTGCTCACAGGCTGACACTGTTCTGGTTGGCCCACCATGACTATGTGTGAAGCTGTTCACACTTTTAAAAATGTACTTTCTGACCAGTAAGTAGGGATAAAGGTACCCTCCTCCTCCTGGAAAGCATTACTGAAGACATTTTAAGATGAAAATACCCATTGATTCTATTATTCCTTGTTTCTATCAGAGATGGCTACATCTCATAGAGACAGCTTGCTGTTTTCTACTTCCTTCCATACATTTTTACATCATTTCAATGTGTTTCTACATTTCTTTTTTCTTTGCCATTACTTAATTTTTGTTGCCTTATTTTGTACTACAGAGCTATACTTTACGTATCCTCACCTTCTCCAAAGATAAAATAATTCTGTTGCTTTTAATTAAACGCTAGCACTTCTGCCAATTCTTCATGATTTAATATATGTAATACCATTAACTTGTGATTAACCTAGGTCAATATATCCTTGAAAGAGAAAAATCTGAGTCTTAAATGCAAGAATTTTCACTTTCAAATCATATCTGGCTGTTTTAATGGGCTAATGAGCACAGAAAGGTGCAGAGAATTAATAACTGAATACCATATTCTTCCTATCTTGCAGTATTTCCAAAACATTTTAAAAAGGCATACACATCTGTTCATTGCTCTGCTACAGATAACACAAGATTAAAGAATGTGCCTGTCAGAACAAGGATCAACATTTGTGTTTAAGATTGAGGCCTGCAAAAGTTCAAGCCGAAATTACACTCTAAAAGGCCGTCACCTCATGAAATGTTGTGAGATTAATAGGAAAACTGTACAGTCTTTTGCAGCGAGTTCTCACACGTTCAGCTCATTATTTTATTCATAGACTAACTACTCTCTTTGGCTCTTACCATCCCAAAATGAAATCAGGGCAAGCAAGGTACTGCTCAGGGACTAGCTTTGACCCCAGGTATCTCAGGTAGTCCCACTCTTTCAAGGCAATATAGTTTTCCCAACATTAACTTAACAGAAAGCAGGAAAAAAATCTGATAGAAACATAATTTACTTATTCTTTGTAAAATAATTCTATTTTTTGGAAGTAAAACTGAACCATGGATGATTCATTCCATATCACGTTTCTTTAGCTAAGGCCTGTAGAGGTGGAACTAGTGTAGCTTCTCTATACCATTATGGAACGACATTTGTTCCAGCTGACATTGTTCTGTCTTCTCTAGAAATAATGGTTTTCCATTCTAAAGCATTTAAATACAGTCAGCCTTTGCCTTTTCTCCTAAAATGTATTCAATTAAAGATGGATTTTATAAAGGATTAAAATTCCCATGTGCCTTAGCACAAGCTTAGTTCTTAGCAACATTTCATACAATGATCCCAAACACTTTGTAAAACAGAAGTCTGTTTTTATTACACTCATAACCTGGTTTGGCTTTTCATGTGCAAGTGACATTCCACTAAAGCTAAATATATTGCTGCACTTCATTGTGTGAATTAAATATGAGATGGAACACAGACACAGAAAGCTGGCAACTTCCATTAGTTTTCACTGTTTGCAGAAGCGGCATTTGTGTTACAGTCCTTGCTTCTGAAAGCAGAGGTGTAGTAACAAGTTAATAATGTATTCTGGAATCAGCAGCCCAATTAAAGCAGCGAGGATGTGACCTGAGCAGAAACAGGCACTGCAGGAGTGCAGGGAGAGACACAGCAGGTGCCACCACCTGTGCGAGCTGGCTGTGGGTTGGAAATGCAGGAGGGACTCACTCACCTCACGGCTGCATGTTTGCTGCACCCACAGACCAGGCAGCTCCTGCACACACTGAGGAGCCCCAAACGCTCGTGTCCACAGGAGCACAGTGTCCCCAGTGACAACACAGATTTATATCAGGCGACTGTAACCATTAAATACACTGCAGCATTGCATTAATGACCCCATCTCCCACTCTACACGGGACACACGTTGTTTTCTGAAGCTGTCAACAGAGCCAAAGGTTGTCGGCCTCTGTGACCATCTCCAGTTTTCCTCTTAGAAATGGTGCCATGGACTGCCATGGGGGCCATCTCGCTGCCTCTCCTGTCCTGGGTTAGCGCTGCTCTCTCTGAAGCCAGATTCATGTTGGACTCTGCAGGTCCTATGGCATTACAGCTGAACAATTGAATCAGACACTGCCTGAACTAAAAAGGTAAAAAAACCAGAGATCAGTCAAAACACATAAGAAATGTAAATACAATTCTACAAATCAATCTGCATATTAGCTAAAAGTCTTGGAAATTCTCTCATGAATCAGTTGGGAATATAAAGAAATAACCCTATAAAATAGATTTGCCTATGCCACCACAAAGAACTCTAAACCTAAAAATTGTGTTCTGAAAAGAGCCAATCTTAATCTAGAAAACAATTTTTCTTTTCTGCTTCTAGGTAATCATATCTAATGGACATGATTGGTCATTTCTCTAGACTCATGCTTTCATATACTAAATTCCTGGCTACTCAAAGATGGGTTTTTGTTGTTCTCATCCACAAACAGGGTGAAGTGTAGCACACATCTACATGGTTTGGGAGATCAGATGCTGCCCACAGGATGTGAGATAAGCAATAGCTCTCTCTGCAGGACTGGATAAATAAATTCAACATTTCTTATTCAACAGTCACTTAACTGTTTTTCTTTATTTAATTTATGAGCTTAACGCCACCACTCTCAGTTGCTGCATTCATTGCAGAAATCTGCCCATGTTTATTATCGTGCCTGTTATCACTGTAAGCACACAGCACTCTGGTTCATCCCCACGTCAATTCCTTTTTTCTGCATCCAATCCTCTGCCCTCATTCCAGAGAAAAAAGCTCCCTGTTAAATGGGCATGTGCAATGCTTCTCCCCCCTGCACATGAACCACAAATGCCTCATTTTCCCAAGACAAAATCAAGCTTTGAAAATGTGCACCCCACCTCAAGATCAACTTAATGACGTTGCATTCTTAAAGAATTATTGAAATATATTGGAACAGTATCGAGAACATAATTTTCATAAAGGAAGCTAACTCATGTTCCCTATGGGCTGATTTTCCTTTATAATATCTAAACCTAATAATTGCTAACATTTATATTTCAATAATGCTCAGAGGTTTACACTATCTTCCACCAGGCAGATTATTTTTTTCATTCTAAATGCCAGATATTGTAATGCTTGTTAGGTAACACATAGGTAGGTAGAAATAATTCATTATAAATCAAGACAAAATAGCAAAATATGAGTGTTAGAGACACTCTGAGAGCATACAGTACCTCTTTGTTCATAAAGACATAGATAATTGGATTATAGACGGTAGCTGTTTTGGAAAAGAAGGCCGGAATTGCTGCCAGATGAGGATCCAGCTCAATGGAGGGATATGCAGTGACTAGGATAGAAAAGGCAGCGTACGGCATCCAGCAGATCAGAAAGGCAATGATCATAAAAACAACCATTCTAGTCACTTGTCTTTCAGGTCTCCTGGTAGTTCCCAGCCTGCCTTGTGCATCTGACACCTTTTAAGAAAAGAGAAAAGATTCCAGACAAACAGCAGCGAGGTGTCCAAGCAGTGACTCTGGTGAGCTGTCCAGCTGCCAGAAGGAGAGCCCTGCTCTGCCCACGTGCAGCAGCAAACAACAACAAGGTGTCCAAGCAGTGACTTTGGTGAGCTGTCCAGCTGCCGCGCTAGCAGGAGAGCCCTCTCTGCCCACGTGCAGCAGCCCCGGTCACTGCTGAGGGACACCAGCCACCATCCGCCAGCAGCAGGCAATTCTCCTTTGCTTAAGGGTCTGGGTATTTTTATTGTCAAAGTGAAAAAGAAGGACATCGTGGCGAGTCATGAGCAGGTAGTGAGCTGAATTCAAGCGCTTTCTCTCCCTTGCAGCTTTGGCACGAGCATCACAGACAGCACACTGCCGAGGCCGTGCAGCCTCCTCACCGAGGGGCAGATCCACACCAGGGAGTTCCTCTGGCTCGGTGCTGCTTGATGGCCTTCCCCACAAGCGCATTTATGATCTAATGATATCTGAATTATGTGGGATTGGGGCATTTAGCAGGAAGGCTCTCCCTCTTTTCCTCAGCGATCATGCAAGAAGCTTAAGCACAGATGGCCATACAGAAATTAGCTGATCTAAAACAGTGTCTTTCTGGAAACATCCCTGTTTGGTTGCTGATGACTTAGCAAAACAAGGCACTGTTATGAAATGTTATTTTACACGAGAAATAATTAATAAGTCTGTATGGCTCCAGAAAAACCTGATGCCAGGTCTTGCAATATTACATTCTAATAAAATAAGATTTGTTGGCATAACATGGCCTTTTAATTCCTGCAGTAATGTTAGAACTCTATGGAGACATTTTCCCTAATACTTTTGAACTGCACACGGAGAATTCAATGTTTGTGCTTAAAGAGGTATAGATGCACCTCCTAGGAAGGGCAATGTCCTCACCTCTGTAGAAAGTTGCAATTCACATCAGTTTTTACCAAATATAAACATAACAACAACAGCAACAAAGAATTGTTACAATAGCTGCAAGTTATTAGGCATCAAGAAAGGCTGTGTTTGGTACTCATAAGATAGACTCTGCCAATACATGAGATTTCTATAGCATTTTTTAATGTATGCTGTTCTTACCCAGCCTCCCTTTCAGCAGAATTGCGGTCCCCTGGAAAAGGAACACAATCTCCTGTATTGCACTTGCAAAGATTTTATCTTTGTCTCGTAGAGACAGCCTGGTCTTTTTTTCACATATAGCTTTTCCTTTCTCTCTAAATACTGATAAATAAAAACATGCTGGTGCTTCATCTTCCATACAAAGGAATACTGCCATAATAATTTACTTCTATTGTAAATTGCTAATTTGTTATTTTCCCAAAGATTAATTTCTTTCATCAACTTTGATGTTGAAGTGAACACTACCATTAGCATTGTAAAGCTGGGGTCACTGGGACTAAGGGCAGATTATTCCACTCAGGAACAAGCCTGCACTGTGACAAGTGTGGAACAAAATGCACGAAGAGGGATGGTTGGGAACACCAAGACACCAGTCCTGGTGCTTGGATCCCTCTCTGTAGTCAGATCTTAGAAATTACCTTAGTTGTGAGATATAATCATACGTCAATTCAGTATAGAGTTGCAGAATGTGTTGCAGGTACTGGCTTTTCAGAGCTTTGCAGTAAATAGAAATATCAATATTGTCCCAAAATTTTGTTCCCAAATCCTGGACCAAATAGGAATTTTCCTGTTCTATTGTCTTCTTTGTCACATTTTGCAGCTTCTCCTTTGGATCAGGTAAACACAACCATTAAAGAAAATTCAAAAGCATTTCTAAGTCTTTTAAATATTCCTGGACAATCTAATATTTTGTTTATTAAACCGCATTGCATTATTTGCAAAGGCTACATCTTATTTGAGCATATTACTAAGTAGTAGGTAGCAGTCTTAAAATTTACAACTGCAGTCATTTAAAGCAGCATTCTAATTTGCCTGGTTTGAGTCTTATGAAATATCACTGAATGGAAGCATAATTGGGAATAAAGCAGTACTGGATCATTCTATTTATTTATGAGGTAGACATTTTTTCACTTTTATGATGTTTGACTAATGAGATGTACTGATAAGTGATGTGAACTCCACACTTTAAACATCACTTCTATCCATAGCATGAATTTCTGTGTGTAAGGGTAATTATATAACAAGGGATGTAATTGACTATGTTTGCTGCCTGCAGATCTGACCTGTTTATGTCTGATCTTTATAGAAAATCAAACACAGTAATTCCAAACTTTTGCATGCATACGCATTTTAAAATGTTAATTGTGGGTGCTTCTTCTTACCTTTTTTAACTTCTGCACCAGTTTTCCATAGGATACCAAAATCACCAATAAGGGTATTATAAAACAGGTGGTGAAGAGCGTAATAATGTATGTACGGTCAGCATAAGCTCCTGAGTACCTGTATAAAACACAAAATGCCTTTGTGTGTATTACTACTATGCGTTCGTATTATTTTCTTGGAACATTAATCTTTCTTTTCAAAGACGTCACTAGCATTTTTGTCAGATGTTTTTATTCAACATGCCCCATTAACAGCTGTAGTCATATCCCCAGATGGAGCCCTGGGCCATCTCCCTGCCCAGGGGCTTGGGGGGGATCCCACAGCTGTAGGGACAGTACCAAGGAACTCATGGTGGGGCTCATTGCATGGGAGGGGACACGCAGTCCAACATCCTGCTCCAAGCACAGCCAGCTATGGGGTCAGACTGGCTGCCTCAGCGCTTTGTCCAGTCTTTGTCCTTTGACTCCTGACAAAAAGCATAAGGTCTAGAGTGATTATTTTCATTAGAGATGGAGGCTCCACCCTTTACAAATTTTTGTTTTAGAAGCTGATCACAGAAAATTTTGTTCAGTTTTATTACAACTTCCTTTATATCTGATTTTTTTCAGATACTTACATAATCTTTAACCCTTTCCTTTAAATTCCTGGCCCTGAGGCATCCTGAAGTGCAAGTTTCATTTTTTACCATACTCTGTGAGAGTGGCCTTACCAGTTAGGCTCACAAGTAGTTCCAATCTTACTGGGGGTGTAACTGCTCCAACCAGCTGTTGGTGGAATGGTCCAAATGAAGGAAAAGCTCCACACAAAGACAATTCCTAGAGCTGCGTGCTTCCCCCTCAAGCGCGCGTTTCTCAGGGGGCGGCAGATCACAACGTACCGCTCCAAGGCCAGCAGAGCCAGGGACCACAGAGCCACAATGCCTGCAGCAAGGGAACACGGTCAGCATCAACGTGGGTGCGTCCCTGAACAGCAAACACCATCCCCAATCACAGAAAGCAAACACCATCCCAAATCACAGATTCCCCGAACTGCTGATTTTGAAAAGCATCTCTGGAGCTCAGCACGCCCCCTGCACCATCTAGGAGGTTGTTCAGGACCAAGTCCAGCTGGGTTTTGAGTATCTGTGGAGATGGAGACTCTGCAACAACTCTGGGCAACCAGTTACACTCTTTGACTACCCACAATATCAGACACCTTTTCTATCAACACAAGTTGTGAAAGGATGAGCAATTCATGTGTATTTTTCTAATACTTAATGAAGAGCATTTCATGTTTGTCCAGTTTGCCAGTTTACAGTATAAGGGCTACAAAACCAAGCAGCTAATCAAGCCAGTTAAGTGATTAGGACTTGCACTTTTAGTTCTACACTGAAAAGCTGCAAATTATGTGTAGCATCCAAATTAATTAACTAAAATCTTCAAAATATTATCTTTGCAAAAACTATTTCAGGCTATCAGAAAACTCAAACCTGCAGACAGGTGCCCACAACACCAAATTATCAATTTAGGCACATATTACCTGGTGGGACACCAAAATCTTGAAATAGCCTGATCTTTCTCCATAGGACAGAGCTTACGTGCCACAAACTGATGTGGAAGCATTGTCCCTCCGTGTAGCTTAAACAGGCAGAGAGCAGCTCTGGGACTCCTTTTCAGGCTGAGGATCAGCACTGTGTGATTTAGAGCAGGGACAAGCATTACTGGCTGTCTCCATGCAGCTTCAGAGACAGCGACAGGACGCAGGAATGAGTGAGTAGATGCCCCGTTCTAAACTAATATCCTGTTTACTCTGCAGAGGTGTATTTACACAGGGTATTGCATGGTGAGGATTTTTCCTCTTAGAGTACTTCTAATTTTTTTTATAGTAAGTGAACAAAGCCATGAAAAAAAATCACAAAAAGATTGGTGTGCAGACTGACTGTCACAGGTGTGTCCCTGCTCCTCAGAGCCCCTGGAGCACAGAGAACACAAGATGTTCTGTGCCCTGAGATTTTCCACAGTTTATGGGCAGCCACTCACTCTTTTTCTCTCTCTCTTATTTATCCATATATGCACACACCTAAATACAAATATTGAAAATACCTATACATAAGGACTTTTTTCCTGAAATTGTTTTACCGTAAGCCCCACAGCACTACTATTCCATTGGAAAGCTTTTCCTCATTCTGTGAAACATATTCAATGATCACTACACATGCAACAGGCCATGTACAGGACAGGGATAGAGAGATATATTTTTCACTCTCCACTACAGAATACATGCAACAGGGGAAAATACCAGTGAATTCAAAGGCATGCAAAGTCAGTGACTTGGGAAGCTACAGTAGAATACATTGAAGGAAGTTGAAAAAAAAGAACATAAAACTACAAACAAAGTCAAGCTTACCGAAAAATGTGACAGCAAATCCTTCCAACACGCAAGTCCAGTATCCCATAAAAAAATAACCTTTTAGATTTGTTAAAAAGCTGATGGTACCACCAGTCAGTGAGACCAGGAAATCAGCCACAGACAAATTGACAATAATATAATTGACAGGTTGTCTCAATTGCTTGAACTTACAAGTTACCAGGATTACAGCCAGGTTCTCAGCAAGTGACAGGGAGGTCACCAACAGCATTGCTGCTGCCAGAAGCCTGAATTGCCAGGGCTGGATGGAGTCCAAGGGCCGGCGGAAGGGATCCCATCTGGCAGGAGCAAAGGAACTGGGCAAGAGCGACCCGTTTTCAAACGCTCTGAATGCATCCATTACTTCCTTCAGTAGGAAAAATAATATCATATAATATTGCAGTTTCAAACCTGTAAATAATATTCAGGATTAAAGTGAGATGTTTGCTCTTTCCAACAGAAGTGCGAACAAACTCTCCCTCCTTCTGCTCTCCAATAATAACTGAGGAAAAATGTTTCAGTTGGAGGAAAGTTTAGTGCTGCAGAGGGAAAGTGGGAAGAGGGATTAGCAAGAATATCTCTCAGAGCAACTTCTGTCCCTCTCTGCCCACGGCCTCTCCCTCAGTGCAGCTGTGCCTTTATCTGCAGTGAGATTCCTCCTCCTGCAGCAGCCAGAAGTGCTGAAATATCCCTCAGCCCAGCCCTGCTCCCCTGGAAAAACATCACTGCTGAAATAGAAATACCCCTCAGCCCTGCTCCGCTGGAAAAACATCAGTGCTGAAATACCCCTCAGCTCAGCCCTATTCTGCTGGGAAAACATCACTGCTGAAATAGAAACACCCCTCAGATCAGCCCTGCTCCGCTGGAAAAACATCAGTGCTGAAATACCCCTCAGCCCAGCCCTGCTCTAACCCTAACCCTAACCCTGCTCTCTGGAAAAACATCAGCGTTGGCTTGGAGCCTCCCACAGTTCCATCACTTTAAAAAGAAAGGCTGCCTGGTGAGAGGGAGTTGTCCTTGGTGAGCCAGAGAGCTTACAGGAATTTGGCAAAGCCGACTGTTAGGGTTGAAATCAAAATAATGGGATGTTTGACATTGTACTGACCCTTTTCGTCGGGTGGCTCCCAAAGAATTCTCCATGGATGAACTTTTCTCTACAGACCTTCAGAAACCAACAGATAAGGCCACACATGGAACCAACAGGGAGCAAAACCAGACCTAGGGACGTCTTTCCTCAGCTGCACAAGATTAGATCCCACTGTCTCTTTGCAAAGCAGTTATTTTTTTCTTAATCAACCTAACAATCTCAGATAATCAATAAATGAAAATAAATGTCCTAAATATTTCACTTGCTCAGAGGCCCTTATGATGACTGATGCAAAGATAACCTGCATCTGGCTGTAGTGATATGTGCAATACACATGGGGCCTCATTATATACATGTCATATTCAGTGAAGTTCTGCTGCTAATTTCTAGCCTCAAAATGCATTACTTCTAGCTCAGCTTCTGAGCAGTCTTGTTTCCTTAGATCAGCTGATGATTGAAAAATTTTCTGAAAGCCTTCTAAATATAATTACAATACTAAAACTGAAATTCAGTATCAACAGAAACAAAAGCAGCCAAGTATTTTGCTTTATACCAACAACTGAATTTATCTTTACCCAACACAATTCCCGTAGCCCAGGCAGGTAGCTGGTGAAAAGACATGACGGCACATTGCTGACAGGAAGAATTGCGTGTGCTGTATCATTTTGCTGGCAGAATTTGTCCGTTTGTTGCTTAACATGTCATCCAACCTCTGATTAAATTGATGGAATTTAACAAAATAGTAAGAATTGAGGCATTACTGAAAGTTAATTGCAAATATGGATTTTAAGAGCTGACCCTCACTTGATCCTGCATGACTTAATATGTGCTTCTGCTCTAAATAGCAATTTTGGACATTATTAAGAGTATTCAAGAGCCTACATAAAATATTCCTATCTCTTTCTGCTCTCTTTGAAAAAACCAATCTGAGATTTGAAAAATTAAAGGGGCTTTTTTATTTCTCCTGCCCTATCAGTAAATAATTACTTTCAGTATCTCTGCAGATGGTTTCCCCAAGTAAGGCTGATCTGAACATAAGTTCCATTTCTGCAAACTGAATACAGTTGCAGGTGCTTTAATGAACATCGAAATATTTCCAGAGTACTTCCTTTTGAGATGCACCAGAAGTTATCATCCACATTTCTTTCCTCCAGTGTCAATGGAGTTCATAATTGCCTGTGATTGGATTTTTCTGATGGCATAACATCTTTTATCTACTTTCTTGCCCATCTGAATTAGGTTTTACCAAATAAATTTTATTTTTGTATTTGCACTGAAATGGAACATTTATTGCTGAGAATTTATGGGAAGAAAGTAAAATGTTCTGAGATACTGCTTTAAGAGAGTTTTAGGTGCTGTATAAACCAAGCCATACGTCACTTCATCATATACAAAGCTCCATGAAAAAAGAGCAATCACTTCTCAGTTCAGTGACTCTCTTATTCCTAGCTCAAATGTCACAGATTTATGTCCCTGTATGCTTCAGATTGTTCAGGGTTAATTTTTTAAACAAGAGTATCTATTGCAGCCCTAAATAAAAAGTTTGCATCTCTTGCAGTCCGTTAAATGAAGGCTTATACTGATCCAAATGCCATTAAATTCTATCACCAAAAGTGAGTCCTGTTAAATCAGGGCAAAGAGGGGGTGAAGAGAAGGGGTGAGATTGCACAGCAGGACCAGGGGGTGAAGAGAAGGGGTGAGGATGCACAGCAGGACCAGGGGTTAACAGAAGCGGTGAGATGCCCAGCAGGACCAGCCCAGCCCCTTTTCCCCGCGCTGTGGGGACGCTGCTGTTCCACACTCCCTCCTGGCCCAGCAGAGGGATCAGCCTGGAGGGATGCACGCACAGCTGCACACAGCTGCACGCAGCTGCACGCAGCTGCACACCAGCCCACAGAGCCAGCACTGCCACGCTGCAGAGAGCAGCTTGCTAAGCAGTCCTTCAGATCCAAACCAGCAGAAACGGCACAGGCAGAGATCCTGCAGATAAACTCAGACTGCCTGAGGCAGCCTGTGTGTGAAATCCCACAACACCTCTGTTACTCAGTGCTCTGGAGAGGAAAGCAAAGGACAGGTGCTGAGAGAGGGAACGAGGCTTTCTCAGGCAAGGATGCAGGGTGGAGTGACTCTGAATTTGCCATAGTGAAGGCAGTGCACAAAGATAGCTGTCCTGATCTCGTTAACTTCTCTATCAGAAGTATACACCAGTGCATAGTTTTCTTATGTAATCATAGGGAAAGGCAAAAAGCACAGGCTGAGAAGGAGAGTCAGAACAGTCAGGGTAACACTGAGATCCAGCACAAAGTAAGCTTCTTTATGCAAGGAAAAAATCCACCACGTATGCAAGCTGGTAAATGAGCAGCAAGCAGCTCTACAGCTCGGATTTGGCACTAACACAGTCGTGGCCAGGAGCTGGCCGGGGGGGACAGGTGGGCTTGCAGCCCTTGGTGAGAGGAACCTGTGACAGCACAGGGCCCTCCCCTCCATCCTGCTGGGTGTGCATGCACACACCGAGTCAGGTATTTCTGCATCAACTGCACCAACAGGCAAGCACTAAGCACATCTCCCTCTGCCTTACTATTCTGTGGATAAATTAAGATATAAGTACTTTAAGAGAAATATTTTCTGTACAGAAAAAAAAGGGTTTCATCTTCAAAATGCATTATGATTTCTGCTTTCTTCACATTTACAGATGTCTAATTTGCCATTCTAATTATCTTTCCTATTGAAGCAGACATTTTCTAAATGTTTGGTTTTGGAAAGAAACAGCTATAATATCTTTCCACGATTTTTTCTCCTTTTGAGAAGGTAATTTCAAACCCTTCTTTCCATGATGTGTTATAAGTACTGCTTCTTAGTCTTTTAACCCCTGTTCCAGTGACAGGTCTTGTTAAAAGTTTTTTTCCTTCCAAATGTGAGTTCATACAGAGTTTTTCTATGTCATCAACAAATAAAAAGTCCTTACATTCTGCATAAGTGGTTACAAGATACATTTAATTTTTGCAATTCAGATTATCTGAGCTAAAATGAATGTTAAACCATTCAGAATTATTTCAATCAGTATAAAAAAATCCTGTCTTACATTACCAAAACAAGGGGCACTGGGGGAGAAGAATGACCTCAGAAAACCTGAATACATAGTGTGGAATAAAGTGAAGCAACAGCACAGAAGAAAGGATTACTGTCATAATTCATTTGGCAAATTGGATGTCAAATGAGCAAAAATTAATGCCAGAAAAGAAAAAAAGAGGTATGGGTTATTTGGCATGTAAGAGGATAGAAAGTCACATTAGAATTTGTGAAAGTAAAGTTACGCCTCGTGATTCCACATACAGAGTGTACATATGGAAAAAAGTTACATTCCATGCTGATAGAACATCACTAGAAAGTGTTTGCTAATATCACATATAAAAAAAAATCTGCTAGAAATAAAACTGCCTAAACATCTGCTTCCTTCATAAACACTTGCTGTGAAACACAGCACGTATACTCTCCAGAGTAATTCAGTCTCTCACTAGAGCGAAAACTAACTTCCTGGTCAGATTTCAGGAATATATTTCAAACATATTTGATATTGATGACCTTAATGTAATAAAGTAATGTATTGGACTGATCAGATTTCAAGGGAGGAAAATCTCACTGCTTCAAGATACTTAAGTATCTATAAAGACAAGTTAAGACACACAAACCAACAGGACTAGTTACAGAGGATGTCCTTGTCTTTTTCTGTTTTATTGGAATTGCTTTATTGGAAGAGCTAAGATCTCTTAAATAACTATATATCTATATATATCTGTCTCCAATACAGGGTACATACCATGCCTTTTAAAGGTAGAGTTGTCTTTAAATGAAGCTTTTAAAATCCTTTTTTCACTTTCATTTTTCTTTAATATGGGATAATTTCTCAATGAGTTATACCAGTGTATTTTTAAACTACATTATCTGACACAACTTTCTGTTTTCCACTATGTGTTCTAAGAAATCCTGTTATGCAAAGGACAGTTGAGCTCATTCACTTCTGTCCTCAACTCCAAAACAAACAGCATCATTCCCTTGTTAATCCAATTAGCATACACAAATTAAAAGTATTATTTATGTCTGTCATATTGGTCATTATAGAATGTATTATCTATAGAACCAATCCTGAATGTACTCCTGGATTGGTGAAATAACCAAACTGCCCATGGCACTCCCTGCCATTGGAACTGGGTGATCTCTGAGATCCCTCCCAACCCAACCCAACCCAGTCAGTGGCTCTGTGATTCCAGCTAGGT